ACGGCCACCATGTACTTCCCCTTGGTGCTCAGATAGGCAGGCACAAAGGAAACCCAGACACTGCAGAAGATCAGCATGCTGAAGGTGAGCAGCTCGGCTTCATTGAAGGCCCCAGGCAGATTCCTGGCCAGGAAAGCCACCATGAAGCAGATGGCAGCCAGGAAGCCCATGTAGCCAAGGGCACTGTAAAACATGGCAGCAGAGCCTTCATTGCACTGCAGGATGATCTCTCCAGGCTGAGAATGCAAGTCAGAGTCAGGAAATGGGGGGAAAGTCCCTAGCCAGCTGCCGCAGATTACAACTTGAACAGCAGAACAAGAAAGGACAATGGAATTGGCCAAACTCTTCCCCAGCCATCTCTGCACTGTATTCCCTGGCTTTGTGGCCAAGAAGGCCAATACCACCGTGATTGTTTTGGCCAGGACTGAAGAAATGGCAGCTGAGAAGATGATGCTGAAGACTGTTTGTCGGAGAAGGCAGGTTGATTTCACGGGCTGACCAATGAATAAGAAAGAGGACAAGAAGGAAAGCAGCAGGCAAACAAGGAGGACGTAAGAGAGGTCCCGGTTGTTGGCTTTGACTATAGGAGTTTCTAGGAATTTGATGAAGGTTCCCAAGACAAAGCATGCGGTCAAGGACAAGAACAAGGCAAGGGAAGCCAGGATGATCCCCACATTTTCTTGATAAGAGAGGAAGGTTTTAATCTTGGAAATACAGAGAACTCGACTGACATCGGGATGCTGATCTTCTGGACATTTGCTGCATTTTTCGGCATCTGAAAAAGAGAAAGAGTAACATCCACCATAGAGCTTCTTCCTGAATCAAAGGCATGCACAGAATATTCCTACCCAACAGGAAGAGAAAGCCCTGGTTATCTACCAGCCAGTCATGGAAAAGGGGGCGGAGAGATTCCAAAGAGTTCTTTGCAAGTAAATCTCAGCTTTCCAAAATTACGCTTCCATCTTTTATACTCTGGGGGTCATACTCTCTGGGTGGTTCTCACAATGAGTGTTCCTTTTCATATTTTATTATCTGCCTGAGAAGCCATCAGGCAGTCCAGCACCTGTGGTAGCATCAGGAGACAACGAGCAGGTGAGAACTGATGCCAGGAATGAGAGTCCAGTTTCTGGCTGGGTGCTTAGTGGAAGGACATGCCAGCACCTCTGAAGAATTGAGCAAAGTTCATCAACACAACTCCTCGAGAGGAAGGGGAGCAATGCCCCTAACCAGCTCATGCCACAACCTGCAGGCTATTTAAAGCAGACTCCAGGCCCTTGTTCCTTTCTGTCTCTAGACCTGCCTTCCTGTTGCTGTTTCTCCTTGCCCTGCATTGGAATCCTCGACTTGACACTTGGACAGGCTACTGGAATTCTCCAGCACTTGAACCCTGGACAGTTCCAGACAACTCTCACGGCTCTGCTTCTGCCTCTCTTTTGGTAGCGTTTCACCACTTGTCACTTGGTAAGTTATGGACTCTGCGAATATTCTCAATCTCAGCTGACTTCTGGCAGTTCTTCCTATCGGTACAGCAAGAAATGGAAATTGGTAGAATTCTTTCTTTCTTTCTTTCTTTCTTTCTTTCTTTCTTTCTTTCTTTCTTTCTTTCTTTCTTTCTT